AGACAGTGTAATATTAGAACAGAGGTTAGCAACATATACATATTATTATTATTAACATTATTTTTTTACATACATACTGTCACACCCAACTCCGTCCAATCCTCGTGTGTGCCACGCCCACCTCGTTACCTCGTGTTAATCCCGAATTGTCATCACCTGTGTCCTGTTCCTTTTGATTTGTCTGGTGTATATTAGTCCGCGTCTCCCACTGTCTCCCAGATCCGTCATTGTATTGTGATGTTTCGTGATGCTAGTTGGTGTGTGTTCATTGTCTGCCCTGCTAGTCCTATTAAACCCCGTTTGCCCGTATCACCGACTGTGCTCGCCTGTTTCCCCGCTCGCCTGTCAGCACGCAACGTGACACATACATGTTATTGATATTTAACTTGGTTTAATTTATTCCAGAAAATAATCAAGGCAATGTTATTTGATAGGCTACAGACTGATTTACCTGCATGGCTCTAGAAGTGTCTCCAGCTTCTGCAGTTTATCCCACTCTGCTGCGGTCGGCAAAACGAGTTTGTGCTCCTGATTGTCCTGGGCTGCGATGACAGCCTCTTTATTGCTGCTCAAGCGCTTGACCATTTCCAGCGTCGAATTCCAACGTGTTGGAACATCCTGGATCAATGGCTCTTGCTTCTTTCCCAGGCTGACTTGTTGTGCTTGAAGCTCCGCAGCATTTTCTGGGCTGTGCTTAAAATGACCGACAACTTTGCGAGCCTTGACCAAAGTTTTCACAAAGCCGCTGTCAGCAAGACTCACGGTGACACTTCTCTGCAGCATGTGAGCGACACAGTTCATGTGTTCATAGCGTGTAAGTCGAATTGCGGCAACCATGTTGCGTGCACTGTCAGTCCCAATGGTTGTCGTTTTGCCCTCGATGTCCCACTTATGTGCAACAGACAGGAACTGTCCTTTACAAGCCTCCGCAAAATGACGCTCCTCAGTTTTTAATATAGTCAGCGCAAAAGACTTCAGTTCCCACGTGTCACTGATGTAATGTGCAGTTACACCGAGGTAATTGTTGTTACTCACTGATGTCCAATGGTCTCCTGTCAGGGCGATATAATTTACTTGAGCCAAGACCTCTTTCCTTTTTTCTTTTTCGTTTTCATAGAGCTCGTGGATTTTCGTCATAACTGTGGCTCTTGACGGTGGCTTATAGGATGAGTCTTGACACGCCACTTGCAAAACATCCATGAAGCCATGCTACAATGCTAATGGGTCTACAATCCTTTGCAATCCATTTTGCTATTGTGTCGGTCAAATTATCTGAGGTTGATTTTGTTAATGGCCTGCGAAAATCCAGCGTGGTCTGGCGCAAACCACTTGCTGAACTTGATGGCCCAGCAAACGCATGTTTGGCGTTTACATGGTACCTCAAGCTTGAACAGCTCCGGTGAAATTGAAACTCCTTGTTACAAATCTTGCAAAAAACCTTGTACTTGTTAACTGTACCATTATCATTCTTTTTATATTTGAATCCGTCCATAGGCCCACCTTGCTCCATCTCGCCTTTAGCTCCCCAACCACTTTCCTGACAAATTATTCGTCACACTGCGCATGCGTGAAATGCATTAAAAAAATTGACGTAATTAACAACAAAAAAATAATTAACGTCGTTAACGCGTTATTTTTGACAGCCCTAATAGATACATAAAGAATAAACATAATGGAGGTGCTAAGTCCCGTTTCCCTCGCCCGGACTAGGGTCACCGGGGCCCCACCCTGGAGCCAGGCCTGGGGGAGGGGCCCGTTGGCGAGCGCCTG